TTATTGACATAATATTTCACTGCAAGAGTGATAATTAAGCCTTAAAAATAAAATATTTTATTGTGCAGAATAATTGCAGTGTCAAAGAATAAATAACACCATGATTCCAGCTGCACTGGAGTCCTGGGGAAGGTCCCAAATCACTCCTTGGTGTGCCCTTTTAAGTAATCTCTTTGGCCATCACAGATGACAACACAGTTTGGTTGCCAATCTACACAGAGGGACTTCTATAAACAGGCCACTCCATCCTGTCATCTCCACTCAAATCCTTCAAGTATCCCATGGGGACAGGGCTGGCCTGGCCAGAGTCATGGCCAAGTGGCCAATGTCCAAGTTTTTAGAGCTGGAGCTGGGACAGAGACTCCTGCCAAAGGCAGCAAATAGGACCAAGATCTAGGGCAGCCTGTCACAGCCCACTAGGAAAAGTCTGGGTTCCAGGACAAACAGAAGCCAGAGGGCTAAGGAGGAAGCCAAGGCCAGGGGGACAGAGCCAAGAGCTGAGTAAGCAGGTCAAGACCAGAACAGGGGTCGGGTTGGGAGGAGGTGTGCATGGCCAGGTCTGCAGGGTCATCAGGGGCTGGCACTGGTATCTGTGAGCAATAGGGTGGGGGGCTGGTGGGACAGGCTGCCATGAATGACCAGTGACAGACAGGTATCCTCAGACTCTTGGCATGTTTCCTGATCAGCTAAGTTTCTGCAATACAACGAAAGCTCAAATTTAAATGGTTCCTGGGAAAAGTTATTTCTTTTCTCAGATATTAATCAGGAAAGCTTTTGGTGGTGAGCTGACCTTAGAATATTATTCCACCTTTGATCTGATCGCCTACCTGATGCCTCTTTAAATATCTAAGTATTAAAAAAAATTCCGAGATTATCTAAAATTCTGTTCAAATATAGATAATTACAATAAGTATAATATATATATACAACCACCAATCTTCTGCCAATTCCCCTCCAAGTTTTTGAGACTGGACTTCCTGAGGAAAATGCAGATGATTTAGATCAACAGTGCTCAAATTTTATGGTCCTTGGACCCCTTTACACTTAAAAACTACTGAGAATTCCAATGGGACTTTTTTTTTTTTTTGCAGATTATATTTAGCAATTTACCAAATTAGTAATTAAAACTGAGAATTTTTAACTTATTAATTAATTTTTAAATTAATCAATTACATGTTAATATAAATGGCATAATTTTTTATAAAAAATAACCATAATTAAAAAAAATCAGTGAAAGGATGGTAGCATTTTACATTTTTTGCTAATTTTTTAAAGATCCAACCCAAAAGAAGATAGCTAGACTCTCGCATCTGTTTTTGCACTCAGTTTGTTGTGATATGTTGCTTTGTTTGAAGTTTATGATAAAAATACAGTGTCACATACATATACTGTATTTGGACATCTACTTTTCTTTCTTTCTTTCTTTCTTTCTTTTTTCCTTTTGGTACTGGGAATTGAACCCAGGAGAACTTTACCACTGAGCTACATCCCCAGTCCTTTTTATTTTTTATTTTGCTCAAGTTGGCTTCAAACTTACTATCCTCCTCCCTCAGCCTCCAAAGTCTCTTGGATTACAGGCATGCACCATGCCCAGCTGGACATCTACTTTTCAAGTAAGGACACCCAGGGCCCTCAGACTATACTTTGAGAATCACTGGTTTAGGTGATGATATCATGCCCCCAGCCATGTGGCTCATGGATGTGTGGAAGACCAGCACTCAGAAAAGGAGAGGAGATGGTTGTGGGGGTGGGGGCTTCACTGTTCACATATCACTTCCTAACTCTTTCTACACTTGGCCAAGAGCAAGTTGACCTCAACTGGGTCTCTTGACTGGAAAGAAATGTTGACATGTCCTCCAAAAGCTCCTGTGTGAGATTATGCAGGAATGTTCAGAGGTGAAATGATTAGATCATGAGACTGGTGATCTAATTGATGGATTAATGGATTATTGGGTGGTGACTATAGGCAGATAGGTTATGGCTGGAGGAAGTAGGTCAATGGGGGCATGACCTTGGGGATTATATTATCCCTGGACCCTTGTACTAAAAGCTCTTTCTACGTCCTGCCTGTCTCAAACTGAGTGACTTTCCTCTACCACAACCTCCTGCTAACCTTCTCACCTCAAGCCTAAAGGTATGGAGTCAGCCCACCATGGACTGAATCTCTGAAACCATGAGCCAAAAGAATCTTTTCCTCCTCTCAGTTTTTCTTGTCAGGTATGTTAGTCTTAGCAGCACAAAGCTGACTAAAACAGAAACAAAGCACAGCAGTACTCAACCCCCAATGCATACTGGATCATCTGACAGATGAAAATGCTGATTTGATTGGCCTGAGCAAAAGCCTATACAACAGGATATTCAAAAGCTCCCCAGGGGGCTCCAACACACAGCCAGGGGTGAACTCCAGCAGACCGAAGTGGGCTCAGAAAGCAGACTACCTGGGCTTGAACCTGAGCTCTATTAGTTACACATACAACCCACTAGTTATATAACCAGACGTTCAGCTCTGACTACCTACCTGTAAAGCAGGAATACCATGAGGGATGTGGTGTATTCACAGAAATCATCCCTTTAAAGCTCTTAGCACTACGACTGGCACAATGTAGGTGCTCAGTAAGCTTCAGGATGATGGTTATGGTGATGACTGAGGCAGATCTCAGCCTCTTTCAGCTTCCAGGGACAGGTTTCCCTGGGAATGCTGCCCACACAAGGCTCCGCAGGCAGGAGTCCCAGCTCCTGCCCCAGCACTGCCACAAAGCGGACAACCAACCTAGTCCTCTATCTCCTTATCTGGACACGGGGAATCACAACTCTGCCCCCTCCCCGCCCCCAAGACCCAATCCTGGAATCCTGAGGGGAACGAGAGAGCTCTTGGCTGATGTGCACAAAGGTGAGGTCACTACAAACAGGTGCAGGAGGAGCCGGATGGAGTGCAACGGCTGTTCACGCTGCGTGCGTGTCGTGCGTACGTGTCTGAGTGCGCACGTGTTTTTCTCTTTATGATTATTGGAACATCCCAAATCCATTACAGATGGTCAGAGGGGAGAACACAGAGTGGAAATATTTTAATGGCTTATTCTTGGCCTGTGAACTGTCCATAGAGACCTGGAACAAATGAAGCTCCCTCCTCATCTGTGCCTGAGAACGTCATCCTCCTACATCACATGGCGCCTCCACCTCGGAGCGCATTGGCTCACCCACAAAAATTAATTCGAAACGGGGGCCAGGGAGAGAGGGGAGGGCCTGGCTCTCTCTCTGGACAGCCATGACTCCATGGTTTTATTAAGAGGCGGGATGAATCATGGAACACTTCTAGAATTACTGGATGTGGACAGCTCCTCCAGCTGTTTATGGGGTGGAATTTGAGAGCCTTCGAACACAGATGTGCTGCTGAGTCCTGTGACATCCTCACGATGAGACGAGCCTGCCGTGCTGATGGCGGGTTGAGTTCCTTCGGGTTCACTGGCTCTTGAGAATTCGCATGGAGAAAGGTGCCAAATAGGCGAGGTAACTAACAGAAGCGGACGGGAGGGCCACCTAGAGCCCATCCTGCGCCTGCTCAAGGAATTGTGCCCAATCACTGAGGACAGAAAGTGATCCCAGCTGCTTAGACCACTAGGGGAGCCATGAAAACAGGAGGATAATTGGCTTCAGGGCTCAACACGCTTCAGGGGCAGGATTACAAAAGCTAATCTTCCACATTCGGCAGGTCGGGCAGCAATTAGCAAGCCTCATTAAGGGGTCCCGGCTCTGAGCGCTGACGTGAACTTGAGCCGCGGACATGTAGGGCTGGTTAAAGAGGCAGGAGCCTGGCCTTGTGCCAAGAGCTCACCCACCAGCCCTTCTCCCAGCGCCTGGGCAGGCTGGACTCGGAGAACGTGCTGGAAGCAGAGAGGGCCGGATTTTTCCTTCTAGTCTCGGTTTCATTCACAGCTACAAGTGTACATTCCGGCAAGAGGTGATTAGGTGGCTTGAAAATCTTTGCCAATCTGCTTGGTGTGAAAGGACATTTTAGGCTCTGCAAGCTTGCCTCACTCTGTCATGTGGGGGGCTCTTCGGCCAGGTGGAAGTCCTTGTACGCTCCTCTGGGGTGATGCCATAGTCCCTTGCCAGACTCAAGGTGGCTGTGACATTTCAAGAGCAGGCTCATCAGGGGATCTATTCTCAGGAAGGATCCCAGACACCCCCCTCCCCCGCCCAACTCTGATCTGCACTCCACAGAGAAGGGTCTCCTGGGATCACCTGAGTGGGGAGGAGCCACCCTCGATCCTCAGACTCTCCCTCCACCTGGCATGAAGGGGCCTGGGCCACTGATGGATGGCGGTGGCTCCCGGCCATTGCCTATGCCACAGTCCACCCTCATTCTGGCCCCTCCCAATGAGAGGCTGCCCCAGGAGCTTCAGTACTTTCTCCTTATGAAAAGGGGTATGTGGAGGAAGCCCCGAAGCCGAATAAAATGGAAATGGACTTAAAACCTCACTAAAATAGATGGCTCCTACAGCCTCATAAAGGAAACCTTCAATCAGCATCTTCTTTCCTTCTTTCTTTATTCTGAGGCTAAAATTAGCTAAAATAATATCACTGAATTTAGAATGCAATTTTTAGACAAACTTTGGACAATTCCAATTAAAAGCCTCTAAAATGAGTTATTTCTATTTATCAGCTATTTAGACTTTATGCCTAAAATGACATGGATTTTGTGAACAAATATTTCATTACTTCTGCTGATTCTCCTGTTCCCCAGCCTGTGAGCTTAAAGAAGTGGACATGTGGACCTAGGGAAGGGGTCAGTGAGGTTCACAGGGAGCAGGGAAGAGAAGGGGTCTGAAGAAGTTGGCCTCTTCCCAGTGGCCTGGTCTGTCAGCGTGCCCCAGAACAAGGTAAATGAGCTTGCATACATCGCAAAAGCAAACCAAATGAAATCTCTCTCTTTCTCGCACACACACACACACACAAGCGCGCATGCCACACCACCACATAAAAGTAACAAGGACACTCACCTGTTCCTGAAATGCACGTTTCAACAGTGTATGACCCAGGATAAACTTCACTCTCGGAACTGTCAGAGCTCTCATCTCATCCAGACTCAAACCATACCTATGCAGAACAGAAACCACGGGGGTTAGGACATGGCATTGCTGAGCAGAGCCTGCAGTATCCCCTGTTTGTTGCTGTGTACACTGTGTGTGTGATGCAGACTGTAGAGTCAGCAAATGGCATCAACTGGAAAGGGAAAAGGGAGCATTTTCTGACATGACCATCTCAAAATAAGTCTGCAGCTCCTCCCCTCTGCAGGCCTGTAAAGATTTCAGACATGTGATAGGTCTGTGATGGCCCAAGAGCAGCGTTTGTGGAGATGGGGATGTGGGTGACCTGCTGTGGTTGCCATGAGGAAAGTTGCTCAGGGCAGACTTGGAAAGACCCTCCTCAACCGCCACACCTTGGAACTAACTCCAGAGTACCCCTGAGGCTCCTCTTGCCTGCTGCTCCCAGATGACCATGGGGCGATGCTCTCAGTCATCCACCTCTGCCCAGCAGGCAAGCCCTGCTCAGGACCCCCGCTGGTCCAGGGAGACCTCGTCATAACGGTGGTAAAGGCTTGGGCTGTGCTGTACTGAGGCTGTCCCAGCTCCACCTGGTCCCTGTCACTCCCTTCACAGTCACCACTCTGCTGCCTGTGACCTGGAGCCTCGCCCCACCCATCCAGTCCTTCCCCTTCACCCCCCAAAAGTGTTTTCCCCCGTAAGTCTCTCGCACACCTGGGTGTCTACTTTTCAGTGAACCTAAATTCACCAGGGAGGAGATGTCCCATCTCTGCCATCTAAAATGTTTCCATCCAAAGCAGACTCCAAGCCTGGAAGAACCTCACTCCAGTGTGAGTCCTGGCTCTGTCACTAATTGTGTGATGCTCATACTGAGAATAATTATAGACATTCGAATATTCTGACCAAGATTCTCAGACAACCATCTTAACAATGATTCAGTAAGCAATCACAAAATCTCTTGAAACAAATAGGAAAAAAAATCACATCAAAAAAAAAATATATATATATATATATATATATATATATATGGCTGTCTATCCCTTAGTCCACATTCTCCCATAAATTTGTGTTCCCTGTTTTACCCCAGAAGCTTCACTCCGAAGATAGCCCACATTCCCCCTTGAGTGTACCCCTGCTTCCCTAAAAAAAAAAAAAAAACCTCTATGTCTCTGGAAAAAAACACAAGTTATTTAAAAATGGAAATTGTAGAACCAAAAAGTATGGTAACCCAAATTAAAATTTTCACTGATGAACTTAATAGTGGGGTGTAGGTAATAGAGAATAAATTATTGAACTTGATAATAGGTTGTTCTGGTGTTAATATTTGTGTTCTCTCCAAATTCATTTGTTGAATCCTAATCACTAAGGTGATGATATTAGAAGGTAGGGCTTTGGGGGAGTGATTAGATCATGTGGGTACAGCCTCCCTGAATGGCCCACATGCACTTTGGAAGGAAGCCCCAGAGAGCTGTCATGTAAGCACTTACTGAGAAGGGACTGTGAGGGTCAGACCTCAGCAGGTACGAGGTCTGCCAGCACCTTGATCTTGGATTTCTAGCCTCCAGAACTATGAGAAAGAAATTTATGTCTTTTACAAGCTTCCCATTCTAAAACATTTTGTTATAGCAGTCTGAAGAGACTAAGATGCAGATCAGTAGAATTTATCTTATTTGAGCAACAAAGAGAATATGGACTAAAAAATAAGACAAATATTTCTCAGAAACAACAGAGCCAATACCTATCTGTATTTTCAAGATTTCAAAAAGAGAAAAAAAGTGCGGCTGGGGCTGTAGCTCAGTGCAGAGCTCTTGCCTAGCATGTGTGAGACACTGGTTTCGATCCTTAGCACCAAATAAAAATAAACAAATAAAACATGGCATCTACAACTACAAAGAGAGAGAGAGAGAGAGAGAGAGAGAGAGAGAGAGAGAGAGAGAGAGAGAGAGAAGTGAGGGTAGGACTGGAAAAGTATTATAAAATATAATGCAAAAACACTTCCAAGTAGGGCTGGGGTTGTGGCTCAGTGGTAGAGCACTTGCCTAGTGTGTGTGAGGTATTGGCTTCTATTCTCAGCACTGCATATAAATAAATAAGTAAAATAAAGGTCCATCAAAACTGAAAACATATTTATAAAAAATACTTCCAAGTTCAGAAGAAAATATTATGAATCTACAGATTCTGGAAACTGGATAAACAACTAATTGCATACATTTGCAAGAAACCCATGCCAAGACACAACACAACCAAATTATGAAAACTAAGACAACAAATAGATCTTGAAGGCAGCTAAAGAGAAATGATGCATTATCTGCAGGAAATACCAACTGAAATGGATTTCTCATTGGAAAACATGGAAGACTAAAGGAAGTAGCATGACCCTTTTCTAGTACTTGGAGCAAAAAAACTGCCAAGAGCACTGGTTTATCCAGCAAGAATATCTTTCAGGAATGGCAAAGCATAATAAAGACATTCTCAGACCAATGAAAATCATTTCACTAGCAATTTTTCTAGCAAAACTTACCCTTAAAAATGATGAAAGATAGTTCTCTAAACAAAAAGGAAATGTAACAGAAGAAGGCTGGGACCTTCAGAAAGGAAAAAATACAAGAATGGGTAAGAACAAAGGCAAATATAGTAGATAAGAATTCTCATGGGGCAGGGGTTGTGGCTCAGCAGTAGAGCATTCACCTTGCACATGAGAGGCCCTGGGTTCGATCCTCAGCACCACATAAATAAATAAAATAGAGATATTGTGTTCAATTACAAATAAAAAGTAAATATTTAAAGGAAAAAAGAATTCTCGTGATGTTTTTAAAAATAGACTATCTTTTAGTCACAACAAAGGTGAGCAGAAAAGACATATTCCCACATATTCCCTACTCCCACATATACATAACCTCCCCCATTACCACTCTCCTGCACCAGAGTGGCACATTTGTTACGAGGAGGAATGCACATCGACACATCATTGTCAACCAAAATTCAGGATTTATATTAGAGTTTATTCTTATGCATTCTAGAGGTTTGGAAACATTTCTATTGACCTGCATCCCCAATTATGATATCATGAGAGTTATTTTGAAAGGGTTGGGAACCCCCCCTGAAAAACAGGAGCCTTGAGGTTAAAGGAGTGAAACCTCTCAGGAGAAAATGAGACAGCCTTGGTCTTATGGGGTTAACCAGAAAATCAGGAGTTAATAATAATAATAATGATAATAATAATAATAATAAAATGAACCAGTCTTCAAAGCCATGAAATTAAGATAACATACCTGGAGGTGATAGGTTGGGATGCCAGCTCAGCCTGCAAAGACCATGTGGTCAGCAGAGATCCCAAGAGGCCAGAACCATGGAAAACAAAGTCGTTAAACTTTAAATCCACTGATACAGGACAATAGTGTATGTGCCTTCTGAAATAGACACTAGGGACTCTCCTAGAAGATAAGAGGCAGGTTCCAGGTGGTGTGAGCAAACACACACAAACAGGAGTCACTGTCGTAGCCTGCAGTCACCTTTACTGTATTGGCACAGTACTGATCACACCCCCAGGTGGAGACTTAAGATGGTAACGAGACACCTGCAGCAAGAAGAAGAAGAGCGCAGATGCACCAACAACCCACCTGTACATGTGATGACGTCAGGAGGCCACATCCTGCCCACCTTTGTCCTCTGTTTGAGGAAGCCTGGGATTTCTGTCCCCCATGGGCTGCCTGCCTTATGCTCAAGCATAAGAATAAAGAATCTTGTTCCAATCTGCTGCTCTTCTATCAGATTCTTCTAATGGAAACTATGAGAACCACAAAACCAGAAATTGTTTCACCCTAAAAATTGCTTGTGCTCTGCCTGTTCTACCCTCTGTTTCCCTCGTCCCCAGTGCTTTCCCTTGATTCCTGCCCTTGGACACTGTAGTTCTTATAGAAGAGGCACAGTCTGTGTCCCCAGCCCTTGAATCTGCACTTGGACTTGTAACTTTCTTGGGTGACTAAAATATGGGTAGACTTGAAAGAAGCAAAAGCTTGGAAAAGTGCTTGTGTTTTTCTATTCCTCTCTAGCTCCTGCTCAATACTCAGGAAAATATGCTTAAGATGATCTAAGAACATGTCCAGGCTAGCCTAGGGGAAAAGGGCTGGGGTCATAAGTACAAAACACATGAGAAGAGCTGACTTGTCCCAGTCAAGGTGATCTAGACCAGCCTGCCTATCATTAGGCAGCCCTAACCATGAGAAAGAGTCCAGCAAGGTCAACGGAGCTGCCCATGCGACCTGCAGTTGACTGCCACGCGTGAGTGAGCCCAGTAAAAACCAGCAGATCCTCCCAGTCACCCACACATGCGTAATTGATATAAGAAAAAAACAAACAGCAGTTGTTTTAAGCCTCTAAATTTTGCATCTTGGCTAACCGAAATAATATGCTTGTATACCCAGAATCCCCCTAAACAACCAACTAAAACCCACTACAGACAAGAAGGGCTGGCAGGATACACAATCAACCAGAGAAACCAACAACATTCATTTAGATATCTAAGCAAGCAGTTAGAAAAATACAGGAAAGAAAAGACCCCACTTCCCAAAGTAACAAAACAAAAGAATACATACCTAAGAATAAAATTAAAACTTACAGAACTTACATAAAGAAAACTTTCAAATTATGCTGAAGGACACAAGAGAAAACTCAAACAAATAGGAATGTGCATCACTTTTTTAAAAAACAATATCATAAAGAAATAAATTCTTCCTAAGTCACCCTATACATTGAAGATGATCCAAATTAAGACGCCAATAAGGAATTTAAAATCACGTATAAAAAAGAAACAAAAATAATCAAGAAAACTCCAAAACCAAGGAGCTATGATTTCTATCAGATAATAAGACATGTGGTAAGTTCTCAGAAATTCAAATGGTGAAGAAATATAGTCCAATGGAATATGATTAAAACGTTGAGAAACAGAAGTAAAAATATATGAAACTTAATATGTGCAACATAAATCTGGTAAATCAAATCATGGACAAACAAAACATTATTGAGATGTTCCATTTGGGTAGCCAACTGGAA